ACGCTCAAATAAATATATCTATCTCATTTTAAGTTCAAAAATTTTTGGAGATTTTAGGCAACGTAAACAGATCTCATGCTTTCCATTTGATGACACAAATCGACACAAGCGTCGTTCTATCCTTCTTGACATTCAGAGAGTGACAAAGATAGAACGACACTTGTGTCGATTGTGTCTCCTAAAAGGAAAACAGCCATGGGCTATGTTTACACCGTGTATTTACACCGCGGCCTATACAATAGGTGTCTTTGTTTATCCTGTATATTAAACAAAGACACCTATCGTGTATTTGTTTAATATACAGGATAGTATGTATATACACAGTTGGTGCAAGCTCCAACATGTTCCAACATGCTCCTACCATAGTTCCTAGGCTGCGGTCCACTTGACGCTACAAACGCTTCGAAGCATTCTTTGATTAGTCAATTCGTAAAATTCTTGGTTCTGATTGGTCGCTCAAACGCTTCGAAACGGCAAGTGGACCGCAGCCCTACTCATTCTATCAAACGCGTTGGAGTGAGTAAGAACTATGGTAGGAGCATGTTGGAGCATGTTGAAGCATGCGACGCGTACAAACCTATGCCTATGGTTTATGGCTGGTTTATGCTTCAGTCTTAAGCCTTGTGTCCACGATGCTAGAAATCCGTCCGAGATCTCGGAGAGAAAAAGAATTAACCAATCACATTTAAATAATTTAGTCACATGATCAATGCGATTGGTCAATTCTTTCTTCATCCGAGATCTCGGACGGATTTCTAGCATCGTGGACACTGGGCTTTAAGCGGGGAACACAGACCCTTGCATAACGCATAACACATAAGGCATAAGAAATTCATCCAATCAGAGTTCTTTATTTCATGGAAAGGAAGGAAACGAAGGATTTTGATTGGTTCATTTTCTTGTGCATTACGTGTTATGCGTTATGCAAGGGTCTGTGTTCCCCGCTATGATGGCCGCAGCACAGACTCTTGCATAACGCATAATGCATAGTGCATAAGGGAATCGACCAATCGAAATTCTACTTTTCCATAGAATGGGAGGAAAGGAAAGATTCTGATTAGTTGATTCGCTTATGCACTATGCGTTATGCGTTATGCAAGAGTCTGTGCTGCGGCCTTAAGCG